AACTGCTACAACCACGTCCTGCAGTAAAGCGCCCCTGCTGCCCCACAACCCGCTGATCCGAGTGACAGTATCTGATGAGGAGCTGCCCTCCAGGACAAAACTGCCTGGCTGCACGGGGCCAGTCTGTCAGCACGGGCAGCCACGGGCCAGGCCACTCACCGTGTAGCAGCAGTGTTCGTTGATAATGACGCGGTTCGAGAATGTCTCGTTATGGGCCTCAATGTGCAGAGTGCGCTCCCGAGAGTTCAGCGAGTTCTTCTGGACAAAATAAACATAATCAACCCCTGCAATCTTTAAAAAAACAGAAGGGAGAGAGAGAGTTGACTCAGAACACTCAACCGCAACAGAAGCTTACGCACCAATGCCTTCATCTGGGGGCTGTCTCCCAGACACCCTTCCTCGTTACCTTTTTCAACAGTCTGGGAGCATCTATGTCCAATTTGCAGCGCCGTTCAATGACATGAATAGCTCCGTCTTCGCTCTTGAATTCGCTCACAGTGTCACTGTCCACGAACATCGGAATCAAAGGACATGTAGGAAACCTCCTTTCATAAGCCTGCATATTTATGTATGGATTAAAGAAAGAGAAGAAGAATTGACCAAAGATGAAGTCTGATTGTCACTGATACTCTCTGTGGAACAAAATCACCTCCAAATACATGTCAACATGCTGCATCACAGTTCCTGTTTACATCTTAAGCTTTCAGTTAACAAATAAAAAGACATACAATGTTCATGGATTGGAAAACTCAACATAGTAAAGATGTCAATCCTCCCCAAACTGACATGATGTAATTCCTATCAAAATCCCAACCAGAGACAAAATTATTTAAAATTTATATGAAAAGGTAAAGGAATTAGAATAGCTAAAACAATTCTGGAAAGCACAAGTATTCTGAGGAAATCACTCCACCCAATAGAAAAGCTTACTCTATAGCTATGGAGCCCCCGGACGGCGCCAGTGGTTAAGGGGCTCAGCTACTAACCGAAAGGCTGGAAGTTCAGGCCACCCAGAGCACCTCGGAAGAAATGCCTGGCAATCTGCTTCTGAAAACCAAGTCCCTGGAAACCTAACAGCTAACCTAACCCGGCAGAGCTGACCCCGCGGCTGACCTGACCCGGCAGGGCTCACCCCGCGGCTGACCTGACCCGGCAGGGCTCACCTAGCAGCTGGACTCTGACACACACAGGGCTGCCACACACTGCAGCCAACTCCAGGGCAACTGGCCTGGGTTTGGGTCACTAGCTGCAGTGATCCAGACGACCGTGGTCCTGGCAGAGGACGAGATCAGTGCTGAACAGAGCAGAGGCCGGAAACAGACCCACACAGATGTGCCCAACTGATTTTTGACACAGGTACAAAAGCAAGACAATGGAGGGATCAGCGTCTCAAGAAACGCTGCTGGAGAGACTGAGCATCCTTAGGCAAAGGGCACGAACGCCAACCTGAACCTCCCGCCTGGCACAAAGTGAACTCAGAACGGATTCCAGACCTTAACGATGCCCTTTGGTGTCTGTCCCCACCCTCCCTCCAACATACTCTGCATCCCGTTTCTGCCATCATCTCGATAAATCATACATGCCTCAATGCATTTTCTAACCAAAAACAGTCAAGATGGTGACTCAACTGCCCAGATCCTTCCACCAACAAGGTTCACATGAAGCTCTAAGAATGTTTTAGCATTAAGACTGAGCACAGGAGCAACGTGCTCCAGAAAACAATTGCGGACGGACTCATTTTACACTGACACTGAAAACTGTCCACACAGACTTTACACTGGACTACCTTAAAAACAAAACAAAACACCCAGCTGGCTTTGTCAACGCCAGCACTGTTAAGTCCTAAGAAACAGGATGTGAGGGCCTCAAAGAAACCAGACAAATGTAACTTATACAGAGGGTGAGCTGGGGTCACGCCTACGTAAGCGGCTGAATCAGACCATCTCAAGCTCCCCACAACATCCTCTGAATTCCTGAGAGGCTGACAGCAAAGGCATTACCCACGCAGCCCAGCCCTGAGTCTGAAACACGCTGAAACCCTTCCACTCCCTGTGAGATCATCCGTCCACTGGATGGGTATTTGCATGGGCATTCCCTTTACTCTGGTATACCCCTTTCCAACGGCAAGTACCGTCTCCAGGCTCCTGCCACAGGGCACCCGCAGGCTCCTCTCCAAAACCGCAGCCCCAGTCCTCCCGGCACCTGCTGTCCCACGTGTCACTCAGCCACAGGACAGAGGCCAAGTCTTACTGCTCTTTGTGTACCTGGAACCTTCTCCAGTACCTGAAGCAAAGCTGCTGTTCAGTAAATACTTCTGGAAATGTAATCAACTGTTGGTAAAGGAAGGTGCCCTGAGGCACGGTGGATAAGGGCTTGGCTGCCAACTACAGGCTGGCGCTCCGTGGGGGAAAGCTGTGGCCTGGACCTTACCGGACGTCATACCCTGTCCTACGGGGTCACTTGTGGGAACCAACCCGACGGCAGCGGGTAGATAAGGGGTGCGCTCCCTTCCCTCAGCCTGTCCTTCAGAGACGGGGAGGTTGACCAACTCTATACCCTGTGAGCACAGCCAGCCAGCTTCTTAGAGGGTCATGGGAAGGAAGACTGCAAACAACAATATGACATGAGTCTCGGAAACTGCTTGGAGACCCCGCACCTGGTTTTTCATAGGGACCACAGTCTGTAAGGCTCCTACCAACACTCCAGCAGCCCCGACCAACAGAAAACTCTAACTTTATTAGAAACATGAATACAAGTCCTAGCTCTAGTCACTGGAAGGGTGTAGGGGCAATGACTCCCCAGCAGCCATGAGCAAACTGGGCACAGATCTTGGTTTCTAAATACCACTCCCTGCTGACAAGGAATCGGGCTCCTGGGAGAAATGACCGGTTACCCTTCTGGTGCGAGGAAGACTCAGGGTGGCTCTGAAACATGTCTGGGAAGGAAGTCCACGACAGCACATTTTCTGGTGTGACCACTCTCAGGCAATCCACACTTCAGTATTAGGAGTGAAATGTCACGACATACACAACTTACTTCCAAACAGTTCTGTAGAAAAAGAAGTGTGTGTGTACATGTGTAGATGAGAAACAAAACGCAAGTGTGTTCACTGAGCCCGTGAGATGTACATGGGCATTCACTGTACTTTACCAATTCTTCTGAAAAGAAAAAATTGTCAAAATAAAAAGTTGGGAACAAAACAATGTGTGTGATGGATCACTTTTATATGGCCTTTCTCGCTATCTTATAACTCCCACCAAATGAGTGACTAGGCCTATGCAAATAAGGTGTTCACAGTCCCCCGTGGGGATTAGACAGCTCAGGAACAACACAAATAAGGTGAATGGAAGCCCTGTGGGGGGGAGGGCTATGTAAATAAGGGGTATGTAACCCTAATAAGGGATTGGGCAGTTCCACCATCCTGTAGGCTTCAAAGAACTAATCCCAGAGCAGAGAGGAATCTCATCAAGAAAGAAGACCACCAAGAGGGAAGAGGTGGGGTGAAGAACATCCTCTGACTCAGGACCCCTGCACTCAGAACCTCCTAGACTCAGGAGGCCAAGAGTGAGAGCTGTAGCAGCAGAGACAGGGAGAGAGCTGTAACAGCAGAGACAGGGAGACAGGGAGAGAGCTGTAACAGCAGAGACAGGCAGAGAGGGAGAGAGCGAGAGCTATAACAGCAGAGACAGGGAGACAGGGAGTGAGCTGTAGCAGCAGAGACCGTGAGCGAGCGAGCAGCAGTGGCACCAGGAGCCCAATAAGGACAGCACAGTGGGCTTCCCAACCCACGGAACTAGGAAACTGAGCACCTTCAGGCAGGAGGCTTGCTGGCAGAGTGGGGTACGTACCGAGACTTGGTGGAGTGAGATTTGTGGGCCCACAGAGCTGGAGAACTAAGCGTCTTCCAGTTGAGGCCTGCTGGTGGAGTGGGGTACCTCTGGGCACTTCTTGGTGGCGCTAAAGAGCTTTGCAACCCTTGCCTGAGTAGGGCAGAGGCTGGGCCAGCCGAGGGCAGAGAGGCCTAGGGCCAGGGACAGGCTTGCCTCTGGCTACAGCTGAGAAGCTGTCCTAACCAAAGAACTATATCCTCTCTCCTGATCCTGAACCTGCTACTTCCCTAATGAACCCCATAACTGTGAGCCTTGTCTGTGAGTCCCATGTGGCTATTGCAACAAATTATGGAACCCAGCCGAGAAGTAGAGAGGGCCATGGGAGGAAACAGCAAGTGGCAGAACTGGTTAAAAAAGGCTGGAGGGTGGAGATAGGTCTGACCCGCTTCGGAGGCTGATGCTGACAGTGAATCTCTCCCCTCATGAAGTTATAGGAAGTCCGACGGCCACACAACACCATTCTTTTTTTTTTTTTTTAAATTAGGATTTGGGTGAAGATTTACAGAGTAAATTCACTTTTCATACAGCAGTTCACATATACTTTGTCTCATGTCATTGACCAAAATTTACAATGCAGCAGCTCCCCTCCCACTTCCTCCCCATAGTTACCTCCTCCCAGTGTCCATCCCTTCATACTCTTCTGCACCCTGAGCTATCTCCCTGTGTATAAGCAGCCCTTCCTTCTCCCATGATTGTTCTCTCCAGGGCGTGTGTCTACTTGAGGTAAATGTTTAACTCACATGCCTGTACTTTGTTTGGCTAGAAACCACAGTTGTGAGTTCAATTCCAGACCTGAAGGGCAGCTAGGGGCCATAGTCTCAGTGGTTACGCCAGGCTCCATTGGACCAGCAAACCTGGTCCCCACCTTCTTCTTTTTTTTTTTTTTTGCCTCCAAATGATTTTGAGTTTTGTACCACATTGTTCTCCCTCTTTATGCAGGATCTCCCACATCCCTTCCAAGTGGATGGCAGTGGTAGCTGGGCACCATCTAGTTCTTCTGGTCTCATAGTTGTATAGGTTGCAGATTGGATGGTGTACCAGTCGCTAGGACTGATTGTTTCCATTAATTTTGGTTTTCTTCTTTCTTCTTGACGAGGAGAGACCCGTTGTTGCATCTAGATGGCAGCTTTCTAGCTTTTAAGGTCCCAGTCACTACTCGCCAAAGTAGGAGGTGGAACAATGTTTTGTATAGTAATGTTATGCCAATTGAGCTTGATGTCCCCTGCGACTATGGTCCCAAGCCCGCAGGCTCAACTACTCGGTCCCTCTGGGTAGCTGGCTGTGACCAAGTAATGACCATAACCTTGCCCCTTGTCAGCTCTACTATACACCTGGGAATTCTGATCATTCACATGAACTTATAGGCCCATTGTCTGCCAACCCTGTATATGATCTTGGATACACTCTCCATTTAGACATACCTAATTGTTTAGCTTGTTCACCCATCTATCCGTCCCTATACCCATGTTTGCTTTCACTGACAACTCAGTATTGTACATGCAAAGGGGTTCATATTTGTTGTTTGTACTGCCCATGTAACTCTCTCTGTCTTTCTCATCCTCAATGCTGCCATATTGGTCACTCACATTTGGTACATTGCCCTTCTCTTCACCCAAATCAATATTTATCTCTATCTATCTAACAGCATTCCCTCCCCTTCCCTCCC